GTTATAGTGTATCTAAATCTTTTGATATTTTTTATGATGATAGATATACATGTACTGTGTACTGTTAGCAAGTNTTATGCGTATGGTATTAAAAGTAAAAAAGATATCAAATAAATGAGAAGCTCATTAATTATTCATGTTGTGTATTGTATTGCAAATAAAATTATACAGGCGTTTATGACTTCCGGTGCAGTTGGCGTATGGACTGTCTCTACAACAGTTGTCAAGAGTAGATAATCAGTTGTATGCTAACCACAAATTAAATAAAGCAGCTGCAACTATGTGGAAACCAGTTTAACTTCGTGTTATAGCCTCATAATATTAAGTACTGGCTAGGTGATTTTGATGCCTTGCAACTTTTGAGATGACATTATTAGTTACTCACCTAAGTCATGTCCTGACAGCAAATATGAGTGTAATAGTAAAATTGTGATGAGTGATTCTTCACATGTTAATGGTGTAAGGTGATCTTTTACTATTTTTCTTTCTGTATCAGTTGTTTTTTCAGTCAAATTATAAAACAAGGGAAAGTACTTACAGTATACATAGCACTCTCTATAGAAAGAGATATAACCTTTGTAATGTTTCCTTACAGTTAATACAATGAATTTGTATGTTCGTAGCTTGTTGTTAATGGTTAGAACACAGTAACATTGTTATGAACAACAGTCATGGAATTTTTTTTCAGTTGCAGTACAAGATGATTTATTGGCGAGTGTTCATATAGCCTGTGGGGAAATTATTGGCAAATTTTATAACAGCAATTTTGTATCACATGTAATGTTATTGAGCATGCATGCTCAGATAAATGTATTGGCAAAGGAGTGCAGTTAGAAATAATACATAAAAGTAAGCTGTGTGATAGGGTTGTGGTTATTTGTTATCTCTGGGCTGCACATGACTGCATGTCCATATCAAATATAATTTATTTATCCAAATTAGGTTTATCAGTAATGAGAGCTTATCAGTAATGAGGTGTTCCTTTCATTGATACAACAAGATAATGAAAGCTTGCACAACCTTGACCTTACTCAGATACTGAAACTCTGTACATTACTATAATTGAGCTATACAGTTTTATATTATATTATAATTTTTTTGAAAAAATTTAGTAATAATTAAGTTGAAATTGTTAATGATTTTCTACTGTGATATATATTGTCCTTGCCTGCACATGTACACTTTGTGATGCTTTATTTCTTGATAAGTGAATAATAAGATGACTAATCATTCGATGCATGTTCTTGGCTGAACTACTTGTTTGTTCTGGGACGTTGCCAATATGCTACACTAACACTTAGATGCACCCACTATTTTCATTTAAGCCATACTGTGCAGTTGGTCTTGATAGTACTGCATACTGGTAGTACCACCCACTTCCTTTGTTTAATATGAATCAGATGACATGGATAAATCAAGATGAGAGTATAAAGTAAAATGAAATGCATGCAAAATGAGTATGAAGTATTATTTTAAAATTTCAAGCTTTACTGGGTCTTTTTTTCATTTTTTTAACTCTAATTATTGTGACTGTAAGTAGTACAACAACAGCAACAACTGTGACAATGATGACTGCAGCTACCACTGCCAATGGCATTTTCACTAGAAATAAAAAAGAACAGTTTTTAATCATAAAATAACGCTAAAGATAGAAATAACTTACAGTTTACTGTAGAAGGAAGTGTAGCTAATACTGTAGAACTAGGTGAAGGGCTTAAAGAGGATACGATAGAAGTAGAAGGTAAAGCCTGAGACAAAAATGTTGTAGTAGTGTGTGTGGTGTATGTAGTGGCAATAGTATTATGTGTTGTGTCTATGTTAATGCTTAACATGATATTTTCAAGTACAACTGCTGGATTGGTACAAATATGCCCTGGTCCATCACAAGCAAACAATGACCAGTTCCCATTATTATTTGATGAAGTAGGTGGGATTGTACGAGCACACCATTCAAAGATGTTGTTATTGTTAGGTACCGTCACATTAAATGGTAATAGTTCTGATCCTCTCTTGACGTGCATGTGAATGCTTTGAATCTGGTAATGACTAATCAAGTGAAACCTAAGACACAATGATGTATCATTCTGTGAGAGGTGTTCTATGTCTTGAATATCATATGTACCTATTATTGGCTAAAAATCAAGTCAATTGTCTTAAAACTCACTTGTCTCTAATGGTTGGCTTATGATTTGTCTTCCAAGGTAGTTGAAACACAGGGTGTGATTGTATTTACTTTTGGCTGGCAAACTATTTGTAGAATTGATTTCATTTTTTGTGATGTTGATATTTCCTGAATTTTTTACACACTGTTTCTTGTTGCAACTTACTATCATTGCATCCTTCAGGGTTTCATTATTAATGGAGCATTCATTTATGTTGAGATGATCCAGCTACAGAACAAAACAAGTGAAGAACCGCCCCTTCAGAGTATTCATGCAATGTTTACCAACCCCACCTTTAAAATTAGTCTCGCCCTGCCCCGTCTATACCTGTGGAGGAAGGATCTGGTGACACTGCTATCTAAAATTTGTGCAAAAAAGAATATGTGGTTGGCCTATGTCATGTGACAGAGGAGACCAGATCAGTCAAG